AGATGGGCGGGAAGTTCCAAGAAGAAATGGTTTGATTATGCAGGACATTGCTGCCTTTATGGATGAAGACTCAATCATTTTTTTCCCTTCTGATATTTGAAGTACTTGTAAATGTCCAGAAAATTTTCATAGCTAGCATGGAGAATTTATTTGTATCTTTTATTTATAGCTGATAGACCTATTGTAATTACCAACACCTAGAAATGAAAATACCAGCATATTTCCCTAGGATATGGCTGTGCAAAGTATGTGCTAGAACCCAATAATTCTCACAAATTATTTCCACTTTGGTCCTGGTTCAGATTTTTCCAGTAATATATTTTGTTCCAAAATCTCACCTGGTGTTTCACTTTCAATTTCATTGCCATTTATTTATCCTCAGTGTCTGTCAGTATGTGATACATCCTCTGTCTGAGTGTGTGTCTCATGGTATTATTTCCATAACATGGGATTTTGATACTTTTTAATGTCATCAGTCAGTTGTTTTGTGCAGTGTTCTTTAGCTTGTGGTCAGCTGGGGTTTACTTAGGACTGAGTTATATCGTGACTTTCTGATTAAGAAGTTTGCAGAAATGATGCTGTGTATCCCATCGTGAGTTCTCTTTAATGTGTCCCATTAAGGACCTATGATGCTCACATGCTTTGTTGCCAATGAGGTTGGGCTAGATCGATTGCTTTAAGTAGTTTATGCTAGCTTCCCTACTGTTAATCTGACTCCAGTCCCTTTGTAATTAATACATACTGTTAGGGGCGATTTGTGAGATTGTGTCAATCCACTCTCTCTGGAAGCTTTCATCTACTGACTTCAGCATCTCTCTGTTGATATTATCGGCGACATGTTTTTCTGTGGAGTAGGCTAATGGTGATTTGCTGTTTTCCTCTTCCTTATTAATCAGAATCTTGTACAGCAGAGCTGTTTCTTCTCCCTTTTTCACTTTTCCAATTGCTTAGACATGAAAGCACGAGTCCATGGTTATTTATTATTCACGGATTACAACCCAATACTATGTCCTTCCTCTCAAAGAATTCTAGCTCTTGTCATTAGGAAGTCCTCTATGTTAGTGCCTGTGATTTTTGACAAAGTCTCTTCTGTTTTATTGCATTGTGCCTGATACCATATAGTGGTCAGGTTTAGATAGCATGTTCCCTGCTCCAGTCTTGAAATCAATTCTTTCTCCAAGGACCCTTCCTCCTCTTTATTGGAGCATAGTGTTTAAAATCCAATATCTGGCTGCTGTTTTGTGCTCAATGCTACTGGGATGTCATTGCATTGATCCCACTTTTATGAGTATATTGACCTCGTTAGGTTCAGAGTACAGGTCAGTTAGGCCACGCCCACCTGGGGCAGTATCTTCCTTACAGTCATGGAAAAGGAAACGGCAAATCCCCTTCTAAGAGCCTGTCTAAATCTCTAACCACCTAACCCACTCCAGAGAGGCCTGACTCCTCACACTTCGC